TTAGAATGGTAAGAATATGAATACTCCTTTGCTTCCTATTAGGTATCTTGATAAACTGAGCATCTCGATATAATTTTTCTATTTCCATGTAATAGGGCACTAGTGCCCTACTTTTCATCAAGCCTCTTACCATGTACCAAACGGTAACTTCTACGAAAGCGCATTGTGCTGTTCTTTCTATTCTAATGCAACCTTCACTATCATTCCTCATGGACAATCTCACCCAAGCACATTATCACTATTATCTTTAGGTGGATGGCTTCCAATAACAGGGATCTTTCTTCTAAGTGCCAGCCAATAATTTCAGTTGTGCATTTAATATGCTTCTGAAATACTCCCCTTCCCTCAGATTCCATAGGAACTACTCAGATGTCCTTTACATTGAATAGGCTATTAGCGGGTTCTTGGTTTCTAGTACCGATAAAGAAACTGCAGAGGAGGAAAAGGAGAGAGATTGAACAATGAGGCAACCTCAGCAAAGAGTCAACCCTGTAGGTTGCTAGGATGACCCTTCAAACTGTCCCATTGAGGCACTAGGCTCAAGCTTGGTACCCCTAAGTTCCCAGCCCTTGGATGTAGGCTGCCCCCAGGAGACATATCCTTAAGGGAGGCAGCAGCCTAGGGAAATTCCTGAACAGCAACAGTCATCTTCCCCAGAAGGAGAAGAGATGAGTAGTTAATATCCTTACCTTCTTCTGCTCAGAGGCCATCACCCTGCCAGGATGGTGGCAGCCGTCAGGCAACCTTGGCACAAGGAGGCTAAGCTAAGCACAGTCATTGCTGGTATAATATGCATTTTTTCTTTGGGTTTCTGGTAGAGGAATGCTTTTATGGGAACAAGGACTTCCAACCCAAAAAGCCTAGTGTTGTAGAAAACAGACACGTGTGTTTCCCAAAAGGACCACTACTAATGATAAGAGGGGCCTCCTTCACTTCTACCCTTCAGTGTCAAAAGCTCTTATAACTTCCTTCTAGAGACATGCCCCATGCATGCTGACCACTGATGTAGTGTGTGTTTTGCATCCTGGAAGGGGATATCCACCTGACAAGCTGGAGCAATATCTGCACTGTTGAAAGTTCTTTCTGCTTCTCTATTTGGCTGTAGTTTCCAGGTGTCATGGTACATAAGGTTTAGAGATGTGGCACACATGAGTGCCCTGGTCACGGGCCTATTGTGACTTTTAGAGCTGTAAAATTGGTCCAGAGACAGACACATCAGACCAATGTGTTCAAAACTGGAATTGTCACTTCTCATCTCATTGCTCTCTCAACGCTGTTTTTCTATAATGTGCCGCTCAAATGAGACATTCCTAGAATGTATCACCACCTCTGGCAGCCCTGAAACTGCGTGCTTCCTGGTACATGATTCTGTCACCTGAGAATATGGTACAGAATCCTGAAGTAGCAATGCGACCCCAAGATACATAGTCTTCAATGCCCAACTAGAGGTAAAAAGTCCATCTTGCAGATCAAGAAATACAACACATTTTAAAAAATAAACAAATGCTTCAAAATAAATGCACTGTCTACAACACTAATGTTAACAAAATACCCAGAATCCCAGGGGAAGACATACACTGTCTTCTGTCCTTTGAAATCAATTGGTAGAGCTCTGGTAGGAAGCGCACAGTGAAGTAGCAGTCTAGAGTTCTAGACTCTAGATTGGGCGTTTCGTTTACTACTGACATTTAACAACCTAAGTCTCCATCTCCTCATTCCCACACCTTCTCTTGGCTGTCTCAAGGGTACCTCAAGCCCAACCAGTACTTAACTCTTCTTTGATCTTGTCCCATAATCTTGTCCTTTTCAAAGATTTCCTAACCATGCAAACATCACTCCCTTCTATTCGGTTGCTTTGGCCAAGAAATTATCTTTGATTCTTACTTCTTAAGCCCTTACTAAATCTACAACCAAGTCCTTCTGGGTTTCCTTTCTAGGTAACTCTACAATCCACCCATTGCTGTCTACCTCCAGTTCCAACCACTTCCTCTGCCCACCCCATTTCTCATGGGACTCTAGGCATTTTAATCCAATCCCCTCCCTCCCTTTCTCTCCTTCCCTCTCCCTTTCCCTTTCCCCCTCTCTCTCCCCCTTCTTTCTCTCTCTCTCTCTCTCTCTCTCTCTCTCTCTCTCTCTCTCACACACACACACATGCAACCCTATCCATTTTTCCCTAAATAACCACAGAAACCTTTTTAGAAAGACATCCCCACCCCGCCATCCCCTGTTTAACACAGGCTATAGAATGTAACCAACTCCTGCCTTGTACCAGCCTCATGTGAAATAAGGCTCCTTTTTCTTCCCCACACCATGCTCACCTATCACTGCTCTGCCCATCCACCCTCCGCCTCGCAGCCTCTGCTCATCCATACTCTGTGCTTGTACCTCTTGCCGTACTCTTCACCCATAAACACCTAAACGCTTGCCACCTTCTCATGAAACTGCACTGGCAGAAGTGAAGATATTCCAGGTAGAAGAACCTGTGCCTTCACACACCTGCGTTAGCTATCTGACTATGGAGCCATTGGACCCAAAGGAATCCCCAGGAGTCTCATGCTAAAAGAATAAAAGTTCTGGGGACCAGGTATCATCCAGAAGGACCATTTGTCTCATAGAAAGACTTCACACAGTGGCAACGAGGTGCAGAATGAACCTGGAGCCTGGGGCCCAAACAACAATGTGTCAGTGATGTGTGGGACCCCACTTGGACCTCTATTTAAATCTCAACTTCATGTCAGGACCCCAAAGATGGAAGATGGACTTTGGGGGGATCCTTGGATCTCTTTATTTGCTCTTCTTCTCAATTGGTCACATTGAGTAATTCTCCTTTTTTTTTTTTTCTTTTATTACTACTTTTCTCTTTAATTAGCTTTTTAAAGAGAGTGGCTGAGCCTAGCTTGTTAGGGCTGTCAGGGCCCAAGTTCTGATCCAACCAATCTCAATCCATCCAGAGGAGTCTTGGTGACATCAAAGTCGACTGCTTTTTGTTTGTCTCCCTATGGGGCCATGGCTGACCTGGAAGTCCTGGAAGTCACGGAGATCTGCCTGCCTCTGCCTTCCAAGTGTTGGGATTAAAAGTTCATTCCATCATACCCAGCCATTAACCTCAAAGTGTATGGAACCCTTGTGGACTTCACAGTAGTAAATGACCTTCTCCCAATGCTTCTCAAAGGCACAGTTTGCGTTTCTCTAGGCAGTTGTTGGTGGGTATTCCTCTCTCAGCAGAGATGACTAGTTTCCTGAGGATGTCAGTGATGTCCATTACTGTCACTGTTACAACACCACTGCTCTGGAACAACCCTAGAGCATGAAGGAGGGAAAGAAAAGGGGGGATGGAGGGAGAGAGGGAGGGAGGGAGGGAGGAAGGGAGGAAGGGAGGGAGGGAAAAGAAGGAGGAAGTTAGGCCATATAATTAATTTTTAAAGTACTATTTCCCCATCGATAACATTTTTTTTAAAAAATCACAACAACTTATTTGGATTGAGATAATACATGCAAAGCCCTTACAAAATGTTTTATACAGATCTTAGAATTAATTTAACAGAATAGTGTCTTCTCCTCCTGTCCTTTCTTAGAGGTTTTAGTCACAGATCAAGGGGAACGCTGGAAGCACTCTTTATGTGAGAGGCTATTTTTGGCCTCCCTTAGGAGGAGAAACAGCTACTAGAGCTGAAGTCTCCAGGGAAGCTGTCTGCTGATGCTGAGCAGTAGAGGGCTGTGGAAAAACCAAGTCCTCTCTCTCCGTTAGATGTGGATAAACTCCAAGGCGTAATTCATTCTCTGCTTCCCACGTGGAATCAAACTGAGAGCAAACGTGGTCCTGAAGCGGTATCACAGCCCTGTCTTCTTCATCTTGCCCTTCTCCCCTCTTACCGTTTCTCCCAGGTCTGCTTTCTCAATAACTCTCTTGCACACAAATTTTTGTCTCAGGACTTTGAGGAAATGCATCCCAGGACAAGCTCATCTTCCTGGGTACAGGGAGGAAGAAAGGGTGTCTTGCTTTAAAAAAAAAAAAAAATTAAGTCCCTAAAGAAGAAAGAGTTATGCAGACCTTGAAGAGATGAGGTCCTTGGGTTTAGGGCCTGGTTCTATGACCTGGGTCATTTGCCACATCTCTCTTCAGAGATGAAATGGACCTGGAGTCAAAGTCCACCCTCTTGGAGTCTTCCTATCTGAAATTTGAAAACTATATGCTTTTACTTTCCCAACTTCCTTACATCTGTAAAGCTTTTAAACTAACAAGTCTCACAAGAAGTTCATAGGGACGGCTACAAGACTATCTTAGCCATAAGGTTTTAAAGTTAATGTATTTTCTCTCTACAGTATAATCTTTCCTAGATTTACCAACCAGCATCAAAGCTATTTCAAAAAAAAAAAGTCCTGACCAGCACAGAGGTGACCACAGGCAGCTGTGCCATGAGAATGAGTGCTAAGTCATAAGATGCAGCATAATCTCTCCACACCAAAAGTGCTGTCGCCATCCCTTCTTCCTATTGGCCCATTAAAATTCACAAGATGCTGTTGAATGCATCCTGTGTGCCACCACCACCACCCCTGTCTCTTTCTCTCTCTGTGGTGAAAACTGACACTGTCTTTGGCTTCATTACAAACACAAATAACCAAATAAAAGAAGAAGAATCAAGTACTCTATATGACAAGAAGAAAAATGTGTGTGGTGCTAGGGCATAAAAGAGGTGGACTTCCTGCTGGGCAGTGGTGGCACACACCTTTAATCCCAGCACTCGGGAGGCAGAGGTAGGCAGATCTCTGTGTGTTCTGTGAGTCCAGCCTGGTCTATAAGAGTTAGTTCCAGGACAGGCACCAAAGCTACAGAGAAACTTTGTCTCGAAACAAAAAAAAAAAAGAAAAGAAAAGAAAGAGGTGGCCTTCCCCCATGGTGACTGAGCTAAAGGCCTATGGTGGGTAGGGTAAAAAAAAGGTAAGGTACCCAGCAAGAACCATCAGAAAAAAAGTGAGAGAGAAGGCCAAAGACTGTAGCAGAAGGAACCACGGAAAAATATTGAAGCATTTGAATGAGTAGAAACACTATTAAAAAATAAATAAAAGGGAGGTGATAAAACTGCATGAGAAAACCACACTGATGGGCTCCTGGGTAACCCTGAGCTAATCTGGACCCAGGTCACACAGGACCAAAGGCCACCAAATGATGAGTCTGTTCCTACATCCAGTTTAACTGGAGCTTGACAACATAAGCTCACCCGTCTACAGCAGGTCACCGTGAACTCTGGAACCTGGCTCTCTCCTCCTGGGCCCATTGGCCTCTACTGGTGTCATCTCAGTCTTTCCTATTACCAACCACTGAAGAATGAGGGGTGCAGTGCCCTGGTGACAGACGTGATGGATGTGCAGAGCTTGAACAGAGAGGGTAAGGGGAGTCACTGGTCATAGCTAGAAGCTGGGAACCATGCCCCCTCCTTTTCTAGAGTTAACCATATAGACAGTCCCCAAAGGCACTTCTGCCTGGCAGGCAGATCTAGAGCAGACTGGTTAGCAGTGGTTTCTAAGTACTTGACTTGTTTTTCCTTAAACACCTGAGTGGCATTCAGAGTAAGGCTAACAAGCTGCAGCTTTGCCAATAATAACCCAAGAAAATGTGAAGGACGCTCTATCCGGTGAGAGACGCGTACAGTGCTGAAGATAGTCAAGGGGAAGGGCCTTGAGATCGTCCTCAAACATGAAAGACAGTGTGGGGAAAGGAAGGAGCCTTGACTCAAGGTCTCCTTGGGGCAATGTTAACTCCTCCCTTTAGTCTGTTTTAAAGCCTCTTATTGTGTTCCAGGGCCAGAGACCCTAGTGGATCCAGCGGAGTCCATTACTGAACTTACAGGAACAGGGACATACAGGAATGGGACCTTTATGTCCGGGGTCAAATCCTCCCTGTCTCCAGTCAGGAAAGCTGACCATGGGAAGGAGTCCTTTTCCTTCTGCTGAAGCCTCCCAGCAAGAAAAGCTGACCCCAGACCACTGGGGGGGTGAAGGGCCAAGTCAATGAAGTTTGCTGTTTTACAGAAAACTGGACCTTCTCAAGAAGTGGAAGTAACAAAATTCACAACACCTTACACACAAAGATGTCACTTTGTCAAACTCTTTAGAAGTATAAAAGCAAAGGGAAATAAAATAAATGAAGGTAAAGGACTGTTGAGTAACCAAAATGGAAGGCTGTGGATACTCAGTTTAGATTCTTTTCTTGTTGGGTTGGTTGATCTTTTTGTTTTTTGTTGGTTGTTTTATTTTTTGTTTGTTTGATTGTTTTTATTTTTGAGACAGGATTTCTCGGTATTACAGTCCTGGTTGTCCTAGAACTCACTTTGTAGACCAGGTTGACCTCAACTCCCAGTGATCAACCTGCCTCTATCTACCAAGTACTGGGATTAAAAGTATAGCCACCGCCACCCAGCTTCATTTTAGATTCTTAAAGTTTAACTTTGATTTTACAGCACAGTTGCTCATTTTTCTATCACTAAACAACAAGCTCATAAGAAGAGATAGATTTCAAGTATCTTACCTCCTGGAATGTTGCATGAGGCTTATTCAAAGTAGAACATGTTCATTACAGATCACCCTCAACTGAGATAACCCAGCTTGGGGGTTTCCCAGGCTCCTTCGCAATGGAGATCACTCTCTAAAGCAAGGGACGAATCATGTCAAAGAAAAGTCATTTTCCAAATCACTACTTCCAGAGAGCCCTGCTGGACAACTAGATTGGAATTTGCTTTCCCCTGACAGAAAGCTCCCGAAACTCAGTGGGCACTGGGGAGAGCGCCTATGTAAAAACATAGTACTACATCTCTGGGGTTAAAGTAAATCAGGCCATAGAACAGAAATAATCGCATCCATTCTCTTCTCTATAATGCTCAAGCTTAACCACACACAGGAGGGGAAACTGAAATGCACGTATGCTTTCCTATCCTGCACCAGGGAACATAACAGAGGAGGAAACAACAGTCAAGGAGCAAAATAGATAAAAAGCATCAGTTCAGCTTGAAGGGGAGCCCTACTTGCTCTAAGCAAGGCTTCTGAGCTCCAACTAGTGGGGTTCGCACAGGGGCACTGGAAGCCAGGCTCTGGTTCATCACACTAACAATGTCCTACTCACACCCAGGTTATTAGGTAAAACATTTGATTTTCACATTGTCATTTAATTTTCACAATAACCTTACAGGACCCTAATAGTCTTCCCACAACACAATTTAGGAAATTGAGTCTCAAAAAGATCAAATAAATTGCCCCGGGTCACACAAATACAAAGAGCAGGACTTCAAGCTAGAATGGCCAGCCACCAGATGCCATGCCTTTTGTCTCTCTTCTTTGGGCCATTAAGGACTCAGACCATCTCTGCTTCTTCTTTCCAGTCCAGTCAGCATAGCAGAAGGTCGGTACACAGCACCGACCCAAGCAGCTCAGATTCATGTCAAGCTTACAGTCCTCATGAGGACACATGCTTTCTCTGCTGGAAGAGCAGATAGATTTGGGCTCCAGACTGATGAAAAGAAAAACAAATCACTAGGTAGGAGCGCTTTCTGGTTATCACATCCACCAGAAGGAAGCCTTCTTAAAGGCCAAGGCGGAAGTTGGTTGTGACACTGTACCACTGAGGGGGAATTGGTGTCTATCTATAAAGCTGTTTACCCTTGTGACAGGGCTGTTTGAATCAAAGGCACCTGAAGTAAACATAATTGTACCCAGGAGGTCACCATTTAGTTATGACCAGTTATGACCTCCTGGTAAACTCAGAGGGTCAGAAGCAAAAGAAGACCCTGAAGCCCAAGAGAGACACAACAGCGGCAGCAGAGGACCCAGCCTAGGAGGGATCCAACATGTCACCAAACAAGCAGACCTCACAACTGGATGGCTGGATGTGTCTTGCACAAACCAACTCCAACGTTTGCAGTTAGTTTTCTTCCTTTCTTCTTTTTTCTTTTTTTTTTAAACTTTTTGGGGGCCCACCTCCGCTCCTCAAATAAATATACTGAGACTTGGTCTTACTTATGAAGGCTTGGCCTTAGCTTAGCTTGTTTCTAGTCAGCTTTTCTAACTTAAATTATCCCGTTACCCTTTTGCCTCTGGGCTTTTGCCTTTCTTTATTATATATATCTTTCCTTCTTACTCTGTGGCTGGCTGTGTGGCTAAGTGGCTGACCCCTAGCGTTCTTCTCTTCTCCTTTTCTCGATCCTTGCTCTCTTCCTTAGATTTCTTCTCCTGTGTATTCTTTCTGCCCACCAGCCCCACCTGTTTCTCTTTCCTGCCTAGCTATTGGCTGTTCCATTCTTTATGAAACCAATCAGGTATTTTAGACAAGCAAAGTAATACTGCTTTGCCAAGCTAAACAAAAGCAACATAAAAGAATGCAACACATTTTTGCATCATTAAACAAATACTCCATAGCATAAAGGAACGTCACACATCTTCAACTAATATTCCACAACAAGCGTTGACTATTCAAATTCTTTTGACCTAAAGCAGGAATTTCAGGCTAGGTTTCTAAATGGGCCTAAAAAAAACTGGCAATACTTTTAGCAAAATGAGAAAGTCTATGCAGATGACCCAAGCTTTGAGATACTTCCTCCGTATCCCCCACTACATGGGATCTCCCCATTTGCCTAAGCATAGCGTCCTCTGGGATAGTTGTTCTGCATTCCTGAACCTTATTCTTCACTTCCTGAATCCAGAAGCCTGGGCGGGTGTTTTTAATCCCAGCACTTGGGAGGCAGAGGCAGGTGGATCTCTGTGAGTTTGAGACCAGCCTGGTCTACAAGAGCTTGTTCCAGGACAGGCTCCAAAACCACAGAGAAACCCTGTCTCGAAAAATAAAAAAATAAATAAATAAAAAACAAATACCACAAAGTCTTTTAGGATCAGATGAGACAGGGAAACACATGCCTGTCTCACAAAATGTCCTCTCTAACACAAGGCATAAAAATGTGGCAAGTTAAAAAAAAAAAACTGAGCCAAGCAGTGGTGGCCCATGCCTTTAATCCCAGCACTTAGGAGGCAGAGGCAGGCAGATCTCTGTGAATTCGAGGCCAGCCTGGTCTACAAGAGCTTGTTCCAGGACAGGCTCCAAAGCTACACAGAAACTCTATCTCAAAAAAGTTTGAATGAAAGTTTAGTAGTTTCAGGATAATGTTTTTATGTTAAAACAGTGGGGGGGGGGAACCTTTGAAAGAATAGTGACTAAATTAATACAGACCACTTAGCAATTATCTTCAAAAGCAAGATGATTCTGAATAAAATGCCCAGCACAGCATATATAAAGGCTTGTTCCCCTGAAGCAAATGGGCTAATAGACGTACTAATAGACAAGATGCATTTGGAATTCAAATAAAGGTTTAACAGTAGCTTCTCTGGAGAGCTGGCTCTATTTTTAGAGAGCATTTTCTTAGGAACTTCACAGCTGAAACTAGGAAGTGTCCTCCAAGAGCGTTGTTGAAAAAGATCTTGATGCCAGCTACGAGGCTACCCAGGCCCTGACTAGATGGAGCGTAGGAGACCCTTCTCTGTTTTTATTGGCTGGCCTGCAGGCTAGGTAAAATGAGAGAGTGGGGAACTGTCCAAAGCCACCAATTTTGTGACCTTTAAACTCAGTCTGACTTTATCATCTATAAAGCAGGGCAAATGAAACCTTCCTCTCATGGTTGTCATGGTTGTCTTATCCCGAGAACAAAGGGAGAACAGCTTCTGTAAAGGCTCAGTACATATGAGAAGTAAACAGTTTGAACTTCTTATGGAGCAGGGATGGGGGATGATGAGGCTAGCCTGAGATATAGCAAGCTCATGTCCAGTCTAAACTAAGCAGAAAGTTACAGTCTTAAAAAATAATAAGTGATATATACATGTACCTTAATGTAGGTGTCATGGACTTTCCTGGGCTTTACCTATGCTGAAAGGCTAAATATGCAGATTTTATGTAATGTGTTTCCTGTGGCTGGGTTCCCACATTCTCCATTAACCAACTCCATGTCCCTTTGTCCCTCCTACCAGATCTTCCTCTCTTGGACTCAGTGTATGAAAGAACCATACTTTACTGACAGCCATATTCTACACTCACTGATAGTTAACAAAGATCGCTAAACAAACACCATCGGGTCACCTAGTCTGTCACTGATCTGGCACTTTCTTCCAGAGTGCTTTTCACCACCCATGGTTTCCTCTCGACACTAAATTGCAGCTTCATTGTGCTCAGAGGTTGCACGGACTTCTTTCCTTACTCAGCACCCAAGTAGAGCTTTCTACCCTGCAAATGGGCAACCTCCTTCCAGCATGAGAAGACGAGTTTCCTAACCCACTCACCTAGCATGCAAGTTACTCGGCATCAAGTCACGTTGTCCCTGATCTCCCTGAGCTTTAAGACTGGAAACAGCTTAAATCAACATATACTCCCATGCTAATTTATTCCACCCAGGACCCAGAATCTCCACGGAGGATGGCCTCCTCCTAAGAGTGGCAGCAGAGGGAAATGCTCGGGGAACTGAATCCTTTCAGAATGGTTTCTGTATTTTCCCATGGAAGCTAAATTGGTTATGGAGGGTGTGGGGTTGTTTCCTTGTTTCACACAGGGTCTTTCACTGACTGCCCTGGAATTTGCTTTATAGACCAAGTTGGCCTCAAACTCTTTCCTCAGTCTCCCATACCCCTGGGCTGGAGTCCTGGGACAACAGTTCTGTCTTACCACACCCCATTGCATGTTTTGCTTTATTCAAAATCAAAATCCATTCTGATAAAATTCTCTATCTCCTGTCTTATCCTTTATCTCCTTCCTCTCAGTGGAAGAAAACACTAAGTCAACACTCCAGGCAGCAATGTTCTGGTAGTCCATGAAGCACGAGGCATGCAGTTCTTGGTCAGCTACCAAAATTGAGAAAATTACAAAAGTTGAAAGACCAATATCTGGTCTTTTCCATTGGTGATGGAAATGACCTATATCTAGAAACAGACTGAAATTTCTTTACTTATTTGGCTTGTTTTATATTTTCATCCAAGCATCAAAGAATACAGTCTTTTACTGTGTTACATCCTTCACCTTGGAAGGCGATTTATATAAGATTTTTGAAAAAGCAAGTCACTATATAAGTCTTGGCCGATGGGAGTTCCAGTAAGTCTTGTTTGCTACCTAGAGTTGTCATCATAAATTCTGCTTGCGTCTGATGTTTAAAGTGTCCATCAACTTTTCTATGCAGAAGTGTCTCCATGCTCCAGCAATGTTTTGAATTTCAGTACAAATTATTCTAACGTTTCTTGAACTGCATTGCTGGATGGAAACCAAACCCACAAGGCCAGGCTCTTCAGAGACATTGGTCTTCCTGGTGTCTGATGAGATATACTGTACCCATCCATGATCCTGGTCTCAGCCAAGTGGCTGGGAGCCACCGGTCCAAAGCAGGGGTCATGGCTTGAAGATCAAACCATGAACTGTTCTCAGCAGGATGATCATTAGATGGCGAGCACATGCCACAGATGTCATTGTCAGAAAACATTGGTAGGATGTTCCCTGCCTATCCTAACTTTTCCAAGATGGCGGAGATGAGAGAATGCACCCAGTAGCTCAGGTACACAAACCACAAGAAGAAGTCACCACAAGGTTATATATGTTCTTCTACACACTAGATATTTTCACTCTGAAAT